CTGGATGCAATGTAGATGTTTAATTTTTTTGTTGTCCCATGTGTACAACTAAAATGAAACTTAGTAATAGCAGGGTGGAAGGAAAATTTACCTATGTTTCTTTGCTAACATTTTACTTTTTGCAAAATAGTCTCTTAGTGTCACAGTGGTACTTCTTGGTCATGTTGAAAACTTGAGGCTGTCTAGAACTTTAATGGTATGCCTCAGTAATTCCCATTAGCATTAGCTCAAGTCACTTCTCTTGCAAAGAGGAAATCATCCCCACTCTTCAGTAGTCTGTAGGTTGTAATTTAAAAGTAAAGGGGAATATGAATTTAAATGACTGCTCAATACTTTAAAAACATGCTTGAAATTCAATAAATTTGACATGAAAATCACTGGATAAATTGGATGCATCTGGTCACATAAAAAAACCTGGAACTATAAAAAACATTTGTTTTTAGTAGTAAGAGCACTGAAGTGTGTGTCATGTGACTAGCTTTAGCTGGATTAATAAACACTGACAAAATATGATTTCATATGACCTGATGAAACAGGACATAAGCAGAAAAACAAAATTACATTCCACAGGCATAAATAGCAGCAAACAACCTGCAGTATTCATTTAACATTCAGCTTACCGTGAAATATTAATTGCTTAATAGAGGTAGCCAAAGATGCAAAATACTCTATTATTGCTCTTAGGATTTTTTAAAATTAAGTAATTACTGGAGCTCTGGAGCATTTTTCTTCCTGGGGATGCTTCTTGATATTTTCCTTTTTTGCATTGTGGAAAGTAAACATGATAATATTTGTTTAACAGGTTGTTTAGTGAATTTGCTCATTTGCAAAGCAGATTACTTTAGAAGGCAGTTATTTCTGATGAGGTATTGTGGTTTTTACTGCATTTTCATTAAGGAATTACTATTGATCCAGACTCAGGATAGCTGTGCTCTTTAGGATGTTAAACGAATAAATATTAGTGTGGAATTTCATCCACTTAACATAATTCTTGTGGAAATTCCTTGATAAGAGCCCAGTAATATTTGGACAGATGGAGCAGGGTTACTGAGCAGGGTTTCAAAGTGCTCTACCTGAAGAGTTTGAGAAAAATAATAGGATACAAGGATGGTGCCAGAACTAGCAGAGTGATAAATATGCTGTCACTTACAAATATTTCCTGTTTCACCCTGAGAAAGAAATGAATGCATCTGTTGGTTTGAATGATATCAGGCACCATCTTATTGGAGGAAACAGTGCAGTTGGGTGCTGCTCTGAACACAGATGGATAGTTTTCCTGACATTTGCTCATGCAGCAAAAGTGGTATTTTGAGCTGCCATATCATATTTGTAAAATTCCCACACCTAAGTGCAAATTAACTGGGAGCAGAGTAAGCAGAATTACAAAAGAGCACTGAGCAAACTCATCGCTTCTCACAACCATAACAGAGTAACCCAGCACATCCAACCTGTCATAGAATTTTTAACACTTTCTGGAGTATGGAATCTTGAAATCAGGAGCAATTAGAAATACTTGTCTTTACTCTCTAGATACTGGGCTAGATACTTCTATTTGATGTCATCTGCTTGTAGATATGCTGTGCAGAAACAAACAAGAATATTTTAGTGATTGGTTTCAGTACATTGTGAATGTTCACTATTGAACCAATAGCACTTTGCCTGTCATTGTGATATTTAACATTTAGCATTTAGTTGCTTTAGGTATTTAAAGCACTTGACAAATGCCTCAGGGATGTAGCAGGTAGGCTGTTTTGTCATATTTTCAAATTTAACAAAATCAAGATCAAATTAATCTTGCATAAATAAATACTGTTCTTTGCATAAAGTGAGTTTAGAAGTACACATGGTACTTTATGGTCAAGAAGCAAGGGGTGTGTATTATATGACAGCGGGATCCCTCTTCCCTATATACTGCACCAAAAACATGCAAAAACACCATGCAGGAGGCTGAACTGGCTTATACTGCTAAGTGCTCTCAGAGGCCAAACCTGCCCTTTCTGTACAGAACCTGGAAAGCCACCTGAGACAACAGTTCATGGTCCATATTTTACCAAAATGACGTATTTGGTGTAGGATATGGGTGCTCAGAAAAATAATGAAAAGGTGTGTGAGGGTCTGGGCCATGTATCACCTCCTGTGTGGTGCTTGGCTGCAGAAATTACCTCACCCTGTGAGATAAAGACTCTTCATCCTTCTCTTGTACAACTGGTCAAAGAAACAAGCCTAACACAGCACAGAGAGGCATAATATAGATTTTCATCAGAGTTTGCCTTATAATAATAATTATGCTCATACTTGCAGATTCCTACAATTATATTTAATTCCCTGGGAGTTGTTACAGAAAATAAAGTCATTCATGGTTGATGTACCCACCTCTGAATCATAACTTTAGGAATCCAGCCCCATTTTTATATGTTTTCTGCATATTCAGATGATTACCTTGATACCTTTTTTGATCTCAGATAGCATGCTGTGTACAGCCTCAGGCTCTGTAGTTGGGTAACTGCTCTGCACCTTTGGGTGCTGCAGGGAAAACTAGAGCCTTGTGGAGGGAACCCAGAACAACTTAATACTGCAAATATATGCTATTGCCACTGGAGATGTAGCAGCAGCTCTTAGAGGCACATGCATTTTGAGAAGTCTGCAATTACAGCAAAGTTATATTCAGCAAGGCACTTTACTTTGTCAGGATCAGCCTCAGTTCCACTCATGTACAACAGTTGAAAAACTGTTAAATAGCTATAACTTTTATTTTAAAGCACTCTGTAGAGAGCAGTCAACAAGAAATGTTTGTAATAGCAGTGTTGAATAAATTAGTTTCTGTTTATATTGTGTGCTGAAAAAACAGTATGAGTTCAAATCATAACCTACACAGTTTCACCCCCTAGATACTTGTGACTCATCTGCTTCCAATCCTTGACTGATTTCTGCATGGATTGGATTTTGGAGGGGGTTCTGCCCATGGAAAGTGTTGCAGCACGGTGTGATGGTAGCAAGAGTCCTGTTCCAGGCACTCACATTCTGTATGACACCTGCATTTTGCATTGCACACCCCACTGCACAGGCTTTATGTTCCAGGGACAAGGATCGTGTCTTCTCCTCTCCCTGAGGACACCTGGGACATCAGGAAAATGCTAAATAAACTCACAGAAGGCTTTATATTCTCTCTGAGCCACCCATTTGTGCTACCTGATTCCCACAAACTCATTTCAGGCTGCCAGCCAGCTCAGAATATTAGCATCTGCCTAAAAGCTTATTTTAGCAAAATGAGGGAAAGTGGTTTTATTTAAGGTTTGTGGCTTTTTTTCTGCATTAATTGCCTCCTTCTCTTTTTAATATTTTCAGTGCATCTCAGCCATATGAGATTGATTCAGAAGGTGATATAATTCAACCGTAATATTGATCCACAGCATTGAATCTAGAATATATTGCTCAGGAAGGTAAAAGCATTGTAAATTTATAAATATATATATATTTTTTTTTAACTTGCTGCTCCAGAGAACACTCTCAGTTGAGCTTTGCTCTGAATTGTAATGCCAGTGTATTTAGCCAGAAATAGTTACAAAGGAGATTACTACATATTTTTTAAATATGAGAAGATTTTAGAATATGTTGTATGATTTAATGAGAGACACTTGGAATTCTAGAGAGGAGATCTGTGCAAATTCACAAATTACATTTCTTCCCCTATTTTTGCAATTCCTGTTCAAAAAGCAACTAATTACCTAGGAAGATTTTTCTCAAGTCTTTCAAAATACCTGTTTTTCTATCGTTCTTTTTCTTCCCAGTGCCAGAGAACTGTTACTCATGTAGACAATTAGTTCCTTGCGGTTTCAGCTATCGACCTAGTTTTAATTGTAAATGTTGCTGTGGCTGAGGGCAGAGTGTCTGCTGGAGAGCACTTCTGTGCTGTGGGGCACTAGGAAACAGAGAAGGCTCGAGCTGTTGGATTGCTCTGTTTGTGTAGCTGCTCTGGGAATGCTTACCAGCCCTCCATTCCACAGCAAGTAGCTGACAGGGCAGTATGTACATCCCACCAGTGGGAGCTGGTACATCCCAAAGCCCTCACCTGCTTATGCAAGCCAAGAGAAATATCTGTGAAATAGTACATCTATTTGCAATGCTGCCTCCCACGCCAGCTGCCTTGCTCAGGAGTTTCCAAAATCAGCTGTTCCTGGTGTGGCCAAGCACTGAGGGACAGAGCACTGGATCAGCTCACTCCTCCACCCCCACGACCCCACACAGGTCTAGGTGTTAAATCAGGAGTTATGACTGCCATGCCCATCACATAAATCATCAGAAGTAATCCATGAAACTTTCATAACGCAGATTTTCTGAGAGAAACTTCTGTGTTTTGTAGTCTCCTCTGTACTCCTGTTCTTTGCCTTCTGGGAAAGAAAAGCAGGTTAAGGAAATACATAGGTAGCACTGCTGATCCCTCTGCAACAGACTGCTCATGGCAAAAACATTCACTATCCTGCTGAAATATATTGCTTTTAAATAAGATACAGTCTTGGAATTTTTGCATGGCTACTAGAGAATATGTTACCACGTTACATAGTGAAGTCAGGTGTAGGTTTTCTAAAACAAGCTTGGGGTACAGACTTTATCAGCTAAATGATATTGAGGATCCATTTATACCAATTATGAGTAAATCTTCATCATCCCAGCACAGTCTAGCCTAGCAGAGTTGTAGAAAATTTTATGTTCTACAGCTCTGTGTGTGTTCTGTGCTTTAATTTGATGACTTCAATTTTATTTTACAATCTAGTGTTGGGATTTAAGAGGATTTGGACTTTACTAGCAGCATTGTCTGTCCATGTGACAGATTGGCAGAGGTGGGATCACAAAGACGTTTATCATGATTGACATGTCTGTTTGCTTATTAAACTGCCACCTCACACAAACATATCTATTACCTCAGGTCCTATCAGAATAACACTGCTATTGACAAGGTGGTGATTTTCCCTTGGGAGTCAATGTCAATAATCACAGGGACATTTTCACTGAAAATTATTTAATTCTTCCATTGGCAAAAAGGTACAATGCTCCATTTTAACTGCCCTGAAAAAGCAAAATGCATCAAATGTCTTAATATACATCCAAGTAAATTCCCTACATTTATACCAAACCAAAACATTTAAGAACAGTCAATGGAAATGCTAACTGAAATAGAGAACATCTAAAACATTTTGGTGTTTGACAAATAATATGTATTGTGGGCTGAGGCCTTATAGGGCTGCAATCATTAAACTTTATTATGCTGCACAATGTTACTGGGACTCAGACACTTCCCAAATGTGGCTGTATGCTGTGTGAATCCAGTGAATTTGACAAATTTTTCTTCCCATAAGCATGATTACAATAATAACAATGGTTTCAGAAGCTAAAAAAATTGCAGCCTTTTTTGGGACAAGCAGCCGCTCTCATTACAGCTGAACCCAATGTTCTTGAATTATCAGCAGCTCTCTGTTTTTCCTTTTCCTTTTCCTTTTCCTTTTCCTTTTCCTTTTCCTTTTCCTTTTCCTTTTCCTTTTCCCCCTTACTCCTGCCTCTCCTTCTAGCCCCACTCCAGCCCCTTCCTTTTGGGACCTCTTAAATAAATGAACTCAGATTATTCTCATCCTTCGGGGTTGTTTCTAAATACTCTCTTTAATGCATCATCTATTTTCTTCTTTCTCATTCCCTCCCAATCTACAAATTCAGTCTAAGGATCTAGCCCCAAGTTTCCAATACCCTTACTTTCCTGTCGTATCTTAAGTACTTGCTTTGCATAACAAATAATAAAATCTACTAAATAAATAATAGAGCCTAATGTGGGTACTTTGTTATGCAACTAACATAGCTATTGTGAAAACCCCATTGATTATACTGCTTAAGAAAAGAATAATTTGCATTTTAATGACACAAAATTAGTTGCTTTTCACTTCATAAGGCATTTAAAGCAAAGCAAGGATAAGGCCATTATATCTGAGCATATACTGCCTCACCTCTTCCTTTAAGGCCAGGCACATCTCCAGATGAGGCAGGAGAGCACTGGAGGAAAATACAAACACAAGAGGGGAGCTGCTTAGACCAAAGGACAATACTGCCAGGAGAACAAATGGCTCTGAACTGGTCACAAGTAAGCTCACAGAGGAAGTTACAAAGTTTACAGCCATATACACCTTGAATTCCTGCAACCATATTCCAGCACAAACAGGGATACACACACTAGATACCATGAAATTAACTTTGATTGTTTTTGAAAGAGGATGTGACTCTGGGTGATAGCAGATGATCAGACTTGATGGCAGAAACGTCACTTCTACAGCCCTATTCCTGTGTCTCAATTAAAATGAAGACTTTGTTCTGAGCAAAAAAGTGAGAAATGCTGCTGGAGACCAATCTGTACACGTGAAGTTGATCTTGGCTGGCAGGATCAAAAATACTGGCAGGTGGCTACTTCTGGATATCTGTGCCAACAGGATGGTTGCACAGCCAATAGACATCTGTGTACACCCTCCTCATGGCTATGGCAGTCCTTGACTGCTGGTGATCAATCACTTCATTTAACCAGCTAAAGGTTAGGTGTAAAATGATGCAGGTGAAGGAACCCTTCCTAAATGGTACAAAAAAGCATGATTTCCTAGAACATGGTCCCAGGTATAAAGGTCTTTTGACAATTGGATTGAAATATATGGCTTAGAACTGAGATGTCATCACGCCAGGAGGAAAGCAACACCATACCAAACACACACTGCAGGAAAACTAAGATAGAAAATGACAGAGAAAAAAAGAAAAGGTGAAATACTGTTCTTCAAGTAAAGGAAACAGGTGCTTACAGAATTTAACTGTTACATACAGTCACACTTGAATTTAATTTCATAGATTTTTTTGAGCAATAATTGGAAAATAATTTGCTGGCAGCTCATGTGCTGACATTGTGTATCTGCAGACAGTGATTGCATTACAATGAGAAGTGGGATGCCTGAAATGAGAACTCCACCACCCCGCTCTGTGCCAGCTCCTGTGTTGTTAAGCAGTACATGAAGCAAGGCAAAGCACTGGAGGGAGTGAGAACATGCTCAGCAACAGCAGTACGTGAAACTCCAGCCTATAACTCACATTTTCTCATAGCAGAGAGCGTTCCACATTCCTCTAAACTCTACTTCAGCCCATTCTCACCTGGCAGAAATGAAGCTGCAGAACATGACAAATATTAGAGAGGAATTTCAGGATTCCTCAAAAATAAGAAAAAAACAGTCAGTTCAACTCTTCCATTTAACAGGACAAAGCCCGTAGACTGTGAAAATTACCAGAAATGACATTCAAAATGATGAGTCAGGTCCCTGAAAAAATAATGAGATGGACTACAAAATGAAAAGACATTTAAAAGAAGAATGCCACTGGGAAATTTTTTTGCTGCCTTCTGATAAGTGATCGGTGTGTGTGCCCTTCTTTCAGGCACCCAAGAGAGGGGGCTGGGAGGAATATAAAGAGATTTTAGATTCTCCTCCCTGTTTCAGTGTCACTAGCCTGAATGGCATTTGCTCCTGTGTCATGCGATGCTGTCATGGTTGCTGTGCAACTTCATCTCCCCTGCCAGTTTAATAGGGAACTTTATCTGCTTGTGCTTAGGTAGCATTTTAATGTTATTTCAGCAGCTACAAGGATCAGGAGTTTAATATTTCAAAGAAGAAAAGTACCACTAAAATATCTTTAACTTTATTGTCAGCTTGGAGCTTTAAGAATAATACCAGAAACCTTGCAATTTACAATGGCACCTTTAGATTTAACAATGCTGGAAAAAAGAAATCCCACTTGTGTCACTAAATCCAGCACTGAAGGGTTTGCACAGGTATTAGTATTGTGATAAAAATGGCATGTAGCCAATGCTACCAGTGATCATGCATGTGCTATTTATGTTCTGGTATTTGCAGCATAAAATCCTAGATTGTGAAATCTCTTGTCCCAGCAGCTGAGGTGCAGATGGGCGTAGTGTGAAAGAATGAAAGGATAATAATAGAGACAAAATGTTATTTTTAACATGATGCCTACTCATGGTGAGGCATATATTGCTTTTCATGCTAGTGAGGAGATAATCTTGGGGTTTTTTGCAGGAGGGAGGGATTTATACCCTTATCTACAGGACTTTTTAAATTCCCAACAGTATTTCTATACATAACAGGACTGATCCTAGTTATTTATTATTACAAAAAACTCTGTGAGGAGGCTGTTGTTCTGTAGCCCACTCACAACCCACCTTTCCCGCAGAATAAGTAATGAAAAGAATACTCTCCTGTCATGATATACCACGTATATATAATCCCCAGGGCCCTTCTCTTGTGGAACCAGTGTCCTCCTCTGGGATGAGATATCACTGAGATCAAGGGAAGTTTTGGGTGTCTTGCAAGACATCAGGGTAAGGAGTGATAGCTTCTTTTAAAGGAGTGGGTTAGAATACAGTTCAGTGGCTGCTGCAGACAAGGCAATATGATACATCTCAGTTAAAATTATATATTCTCCTAAATTTATTAAAAAAAAAAATTCCTGGATTATGTAACGTGTAAATGCTGTTGCTGGCCCATCTGGGGCCACGGCAGCTCACACCAGGAGAAAACACTGACATTGCAAAACATGTTCAGGTGTGAAAGATAACCAGCATGAGGGTTTCTGATTAAGCAGTCAGACTATTTATTTTTTCCTATGAGATGCCTTATTTTGACTTCTATGACAGTGGCGGCAGCCTAGGGGACCTTGCATTCCTGCCTGCAGAAACTGGGGAATGCAGACCTCTGAGTGATGCTCTAAGTGGGTTCCTGGGGTGACCAGACATTAAAGATTTTGAGTGGGGCTGGGAAGAGAGACAGGCCCACAAGCCGAGACTTAGTGATATCTCAGCACTTTATAGTGAAACCAGGGGATGAAAGAGGGGGTTTTGAATGAAATGTTGAATGAAAAAAATCCCAGCAGTGCCTTCTGCACTTTGAAGACATTTAAGGCATCAAGAAGAGGGTCCAAAACATAATACAGAGAATGCTGCCCTGGAGTACTTGGATTATAGCCCTGTCTGTGCTAAAAGTGCTGCTCAGTGACATTATTTATTTATTTATTTATTTATTTATTTATTTATTTATTATTTTTGTCACAGTGGCAGCTAATTGTTCATTCTTTGTTTTCTGGCTCTGATTCTATATTTTGTTATGTTCACACTCTTATTTGCATTATTCCAGGGTTTGATTCTTCCTTGGCTGTGGGTTGAGTGAGGGAGCAGGGAGGGAAAGAAGAGAGCAGCTTTTCCTTTACTCTGCGGCAGCTTGCTGTCCCTGGCATGTTGCCTGGTGTGCTGAGGCACTGGAGACGTGACTTTCTCCTTCTCCCTCATGAGCCCTCTCTGCTCAGCTGGAAAATGTAATGTGCTCAGCCCCAGAGCTTTCTGTGAACCAGCTGTGCCACCTGGGTCTGGCTGCCGTGGGGTGGAGGGTGCTCAGGTAATGGAAGACAAAATGTAGTCCCTGGTCATCTTCTTCTCATTTCAGTTTTACAGATGGTTCATAAAGCACTTCCCATCAGTGTTTTATGGTTCTCCACCACCAATCTGTTGTTTATGCATCTCAAATGCCTTGGTGGCAGGATGCCTGGAAAATAAAATAATTGTTCTGTAGCAGTTTGTTCTGTTTTATTAACGATTAAAGTATTCATCAGTGTAATTCCCCATTAAATTTGCTCTTTGCTGCAAACCTCCAGGGGCCCTTAAATTTGCCAAGTGTGAGACATTCATCTTGCTGAAATATTTTCTGTCAATGACACTGTTATCATCAGCAATGTGGGTAGCTATATCTACCTAACACTTACAATTTATGACCCCATGCCCTTATTAACATAGATACATAAAAGTAGTGACATGGCACTGGGGCTTGGAAACATTTTCAGGCTCATAGCTTTACCGAAAAGGAGTAATCTGGTATAAATTGGCCCACCATGGACTTCAGAGACTCGATTTCAAATTCCAGCTGCTGAACATTTAGTATGTAGTGATCTTGTTGAAAATCAGTGGAACTGTGGATGATACAAGGCTCCAACCACTTGTTTCAACACTTGCATTACTGCTGCTAAAAGGGGCTAGAGGCAAAGATGTTAATTCTGGGTGGCTGCTGTGCAGAGGTGAAAAACAGGTAGAGGTAAAACTATAACTATAAACATGATATCTTGAGCTACTCTTATCAACACAGTGAATAGAACTTGTTTTTCATTTTTCAGGGTGAGAAGAGAATAATTAAGTCTTTGTGAAAGACAGCAGTGATTAGGAAGAGAAAGTAGGACATCAGGCTTTGTGTGGACCTACAAAATGAGCCTACAAAATTTTCTTATCTCACCTCCATTGAAAAAAATTATATATCTGCCTTATATCAATGGAGATAGAATATTTTTTCCTTGTGAATCCTGAAAGCTGCAACTGCATGTATTTGCTTTCTCATAAATTTGATATTAAAATAACAAGGGACCTTCCTGACCATGTATGTAGTCAAACCCCCAAATTACTTGAATTTTTGAGGAGTAGAAAGGGCTGAAGGAGAAAGGAAAACAAGTCAGTGAGCAGTCCACACCTGACAGTCAGTAAAATCCAAAGGATGAATAGTCCATGCCTACTTCAATGAATGAAAATAAATGACGTTTACAAAGGCTACATTTGCATAAAGGCATGTCTGAAAAGAGCTTAAAACATCTAAATCATATTTAGCAAATTACTGAAAAGAAGGGAGCTTGATATAGCCATGTTTCAGGAAAAAGACACAGGCACTGTTTTGTCAATGCTGGGGATTAGCAACTTAATTAGCTCAATCTTTAATGCAGGAAATTACCTAGTGAAAATGAGACTAGTTAACATTTGCAAGGACTTAAAATATTTAAATCAGGAAAGGACAGATTTTCAATAACACTTACACATCTACTAGATAAACATTTTCCTCTAGATGAAATTTTTTTTTTTTTAATACTTCTTCTATTTGATACCAAAGGTTAAATGTGAGTTTATTTCCTATGGAGATGTTGACACTGGGGACTGTTTTTTATCTCACTGCCACATAAATGATCTCTAATTTCCTGATATCGTCATCTCAGTTACCTAAATATAATATTTTTGTCACAGTGATTTTATGGCTAGAAGCCCCAGCCAGGTGGTCTCCAAAATTTCACATGGTGAAAAAATAGACTGAAAGTCCTTGAATCACTTGCATGTGGTAAGAACCACAAAATCATCTTGGGAGACAGAATTTAGTCAAGTATTTCTCTGTAAAGATCACATATATTTGTAGGACAACATAGTTTCAAGGTTATACTTATAAAAAGGTGACCTGTGGGTTCACTGACATAACTAAATAATATTCTCATTATACTGTGTCAATGTTTCAGTGTCCCTTCAAATCAGAGAGTCTTGTTACTGCCCTTCATAATAAATGGGCAAGAGGGGCCTTTTTTTGGATTCTTTGTTTTAGAGTGGAAGTTTTTTTGTGCAGAATGTAATCAGAAATAAAAATGTACTTTAAAAATATTATTAAAGCAAAATCCTAATATTTATACTGTTTATCAAAGCTAGTTTGTAATTAGGCCATCTCAATATCTTGGTTAGCTAAAAATGGCTTCATTTCACACAGAAAAAAAAGAAAAAATAAAACAGAAGAGACAGTCTTGAAATAGATTTCAATCAAATGTTAAAAGATTAAATCAACTAAAAAAAAAAGAGGAAAGAAAGAAACATTAAAAGTATTCCCATTTAAGTAAAGTTATGCTTTATCTGGGACAATAACAACTGAAAAATTAAAAGAGAAATATATTTTGTATGATTATGTTCCTTTAGGCTTACTTTCTTCCATCTGTACTTTTTTAATGCAATGTGATTTTTTTTACTGAATAAAGTTTTTTTCCTTCTTTTAGTGGCTGAGCAGTAAGAATGAAGGCTTGGAAACGGGACTCATTCCAACAGAACAAAAAGCACTCTAAAATAACCCCCATGATTGTTTTTCCCTCTTTTTTTTTTTTGCTTCTCCAAAATAAAACTTAAAACCATGTGTCCCATGACCAGGCATTTCAGCTTTTGTATTATTTGGTTCAGTATTGTACACAAAACATTCACTGGTGAAATAGTGGAGAACATATCTTGCTAACCTGACATTGCCTTCACTGCCTCTGCTCTGCTCAGCCAGGGCAGGCTGTGAGTGCCCACTTTGCTCACACATTTTGTCTCTACAGCTCAAGGGGGAGATGAGCCCAGCCTTTGAGGTGCTAAGATTTGGTCTTGATCCTTTGAACTCTTAAGTATGGGGCTTTAGATGAAACCTGTAGATGTCTAACATGGTTTTTTTCCCCTCTAATTCTAGGCTTACTTTAACCTTGTCCTGTCCCAT